ATTCCTTGATAATCAAGAGTTTTGTTAACTAATAGAGGCTACACAAAATAATATTATTGACAGGAGCCTGCATTTTTGCTTTAAAAATAAAACCTTTACCATAATAAATTCCTTAACTTTTTACTTCCCCCCGGTTGCTTTCAGTTCCCATGCACAAGCTGTGCCAATCTTCACGTCAAGTGTTTATTTGTAGCGTCCAATTCCTGTCCAAAAAGGTATTTCATAAGAAGCGAGCAACATAAAGATGCAGAAACAAAAACAGCAGAGAAGCAAGCGCCCCTTGCCTCTCCCCCACTTCCCTGTGCACCCCAGTTTGGCTACAAACTCCTCCAAAGGATTTAAGCACAGTTTCCCTTAAGGCAAAACGATCACGATCACGTGAGTAGGGGTAAGATAACGGCGCCTCGGAGTTTTAAAATACCTGGGAAGAACACAGTTCATATTTATCTAAGAGAAAGACTAGGAACGTGTCTCGAGGATGGCAAGTTTCATCCCGAAACATTCCGTTTTTGTACTTGATGAGGCTTCAACAATTTCAGACACCAGGGGCCACCCTGAGAAGTTCCAATATGGTTCTGTGTCTCCACTCTCGTGGAACCACAGCCGGACAGATCTGCGAGCCGTAGCACTCTGAAGACGACATTTTAGTCGCAGACACATTCTGTTTAACCGTTTTTTTTTTTTAAACAGTTTTAAAAACATTGTGAAAACTTGCAGATGTTTAGAAATAATGGGAGTTTTAATCCCGAAGTTCTCATCTTCAGTTTCTCGGAGTGTTCGACAGCATTTATCTGGAATTCTCATATGGCAGGGATGTGTGAGGATGGACAGACCTTGTTGCCAAACTAGATGCCCCGCTGTTTATTTGTCCCGCCCAGCAGCTGCCCTGCTGTCACAGGGGTCATTTCTGAAGCAGCTGCTGCACCGCTCTTCTCTTGGCTGGGATAGTGTGCCCCTGGCCTTGGAGAGAAACAGTAACTTACTTCAGCTGTGATGATGACTGCCAAGGGAAGTAGACGGAACTGCCACGAAAGACGACCCGACAGCCCTCTCTTGGTACTTGTGGGGGTCCCCACTCTTACTTCCACCAGCAGGTGAGTGTACAGGGATGGAGGAAAAGCTGGGGGCCAGGAGAGTCTCCCCATAGACAGTCCTGCTACAGTGGGCAACCGGTTATTCCTTGTCTTGTGCCTCAATTACCCCAGCAATAAAAAGCCATGGACTACCCTGACTTCTCCTAATCTAGTACCTGCCACCCTCACACCCACCACCCTCATCGCTGCCCCGGAGTGGGATGGGGGAACGGGAGTTCTCTCCACGGACCACTTTGGGGAGATTCCTGCCCGGGTCTGAGAAGTTGGGGAGCGCTCAGCAGGCGGCTGCTTGAGACGGAGCCAGCGATCCCGCTCCCAGCCACGCCCTCTTGCTTTCCAGCTCGCCCTCCCGGGGCGCTCGTCCGGCCCCCGCCAACGACGCACAGTCCCCAGGCGACTGGCACGGGTCCAGGCGACTGGCTGTCCGCTCCGGGGGAGGGCGCCGTCTGGGGACGCCCCTGGCGGGCTGCTCGGCGCTTTCCTCCTCGCCCGGGACCCGCCCCTCGCTGGGGAGCTGAGCGGTTGCACTGGGTCCCCCTGTGCAACCGCAGGTGCCTGAGCCCGAACGCAGCCCTAACTGGCTGCTCCTGCAGCCGCGTCCTGCTAGGCAGGTGTCTTCTGTGCCCATTGCTCTTGGCCTGCGGAGTGCGGTCAGCCCCAGCTCCTCGAATGGAAGCATCATTCTGAGGTGAGTGGAAGGGCCGGAGGAAGGACGCGGAGTGGGTGAGTAGAGATTGCACATAGGGAATAGCCCCGGGTGAAGAAGGGCACTGGTGGGAAGCTGAGAAGTTCAAGGGGATGGGGATGAGAAAGAATACAAAGACAGTCAGTCGGTCAGCGTGGCTGGCACAACCAGATGGAGGATAGGACCCACTCTAGCTATCGCCCTCATTGGCTTCTCCAGCTTCGCACCACCTCTGTCCCACAGACTTAAATACTCACTGGGTTGAAATGAGTGGGGGGTGGTTTTCCCACCAGCTTCTCTCATCTAAATTGAAAAGAGGCTAGCATTGCTTTCCTGCTTGTTATCTTCTTGTGCTTGTTATCGTCTCCTGCCCCATCCAATGCTGAGGACTTTGAACATTTTCACACAGAAAAGTAAAGTGTGCTGTATTCACACCGTGGATGGCTAGGCGGCACTTAAAACCACAGTTGTAAAGACGTGTGTGCGTGCGTGCTCATACTTATATCTCAGAAATAGGATGGCTAATGAGCCCAGCAAGACACTAGGTGCACCCTTCGTGGTGCGGTTCAGGTGACTTATTTTAAAACACTTCTCTATTTTAAAAGTGCGGAGGTGTGTGCTGATCCATGAGCTGTCTTTGGGAGATGGGAAAGGCAGTCTATTTGGCTTGAGGACTAACTTTCAATACCTAAAAAACGATGAAACAAAGTTGAAAAATACAAACAATTGTTAACAGAGAATGTTGTTAACTTGGCTGTTTCCCATTTTTGTTCTTTCTCGTGTTTCTAAATATTTTCAGTTTAAGTTCTGTTTTTCAAATGCAAAAAAAAATAATTATGACTGGGCACACATTGTGATAATGAAATCTACACGGTGCTGTCAGATGTTGCAATATTCTTGCATCACACCTGGTGTTCTCCAGTTCTAGGAGTCTCTAGAGAGACAGAGCTACTCAGAGCAGCCCACCTTTCAGGGCTACGAGCCACACTTGAAATGCTGATATTGGCAAATTAGGCTACATTTAATAATCTGGTAATTATGGACTCAAAGTAGAGTGTGAACTCTTATTCATTCTTGCAAGACAAATCTGTCTTCCTCCTCCTATGCTTAGGGTTCCCTTTCCTCACATGACTTCTGCTCTCCTTGCTTAGCTGACCCTGGGGACTCAGAACAGGAGGTCAGGGAGGGTAGAGGTTTTATGGGAAAGAGTCTCAACATTTCTCCTGTTCTCTATTCAACAGAGTGGAAAGAATGAGTCACCATTTTCCTGCCAGAGAAAGGCCCATTTCTTTTCTAGTTATGAAAGAAACTTACCTAATTTGCTTATTCTGGGGGGAGAAAAAGTTAAAGACGGTTCTCAGGTAGATTATGTGTGGTTGTTACCATGGGGGAAGACCTTAAGCCATCATCTAGGACTGTTTACCTGTCTCCTTCTAAACATCATGGCAATAGTTCCCTTTGCACGTACTTTTCTCTCAGTGAAATTGATGCCTAGGCAGTAGTTAAATTGCACACCAGAGTGTAAGTCTAAAATGTGGGAAAATGCGATAATATTTCCACCTCTTTCTCCATCTGATCTGACAAAGTGCAAGGTCAATGCTTGGCACATCTTATGTAGCAGAAAGATGGGCTACTTGAGAAAAACGTAAGGTGTGAAGAAAAATACAAGAGTGGTAGAGCTGCTGTGTGGTGTGAAAGCGTGCACTCAGGATTTTGTTTTTACCAGATATAAGTGAATATAGTCCAACTCTGCAGTGGTAACAACCATTGTTCTTTCAAATATATCGGATTGATTTTCTAGTGCTGTTGGTAATAGAGTCATTGCTATTCACTTTTCCTCCTGCACTCCATGCAATAATAAAGCACAAAGGATGACCCATTCTGCTTCTCGACCCTCCATCAAATGCAATGGGCAGTCTACGTACTTTTTTTTATTCATTGTTCTCTTGTTTAAACGTCTTTTGATTTTGATTTTTTTTTTAATTTACATAGACAATAGTTCTCTCTATCTTCCTGGATCTCAATAACCCCACTGAGCTCGATGCAGCCACCAGCCACCTGCCACAACCCTCTCCCCAAGCCTAGCTCATTTAATTGGTCACTTCCTAATTGCTGACTCTTTCTTTGCTCTACAGTTAATGATTCTTTTTAAAGACCATAAGGCATTTTGCCAGCAGTTGACACTTAGTTGGAAAAGTAGCGATTCCTTAATGGATCTTCCTTCCAAATGAAGGCTTGACTTACATTTTCCTAATGAGAAAATGAGCTTTTCTTCTATATGCAGGAACTCCCCAAGACCTCTTAAAAATAACTTATTTGTAAACCAGCCCATCTTGGGTGCTCTCTCTATTTCTGCATCTAATCTGTGTTTACTTAATGTGTGAAAAGTCCAAGGGGAAAAAGTAACAAAACAGAACAAAAGGCCAACAAGTGTCCACAACTGAAAAATAATAAATGCTAAGAAAATATTGTACCTGTCAAAATAGTAGAAACAAACATTTACTCTTTTCATACTGCATACGCCAAGTACTTTGTTAATCACTACACTTCACTTGCTTCTCTATCTGTATCTATAAATCATATTTGTCCCAAGCATAATATTTTTTTGAGCTGTAGAGCTGAACTGAATTTTAAAATGTCCTTTTATAAAATCTGGCTCTTCGGCCTGTTTCAGTAGTTCTAGAGATCCCTGGCCAGTGTTTCCACACAGCAACAATTTCTTCATCTGATCTCAAGTACATTTTTTAGATTAAGCCAGTGTTGCTACTGTCCTCATAGTGCCTGAATGTCCTGTACCTGGTCTGGTTTGGTCTTTTGTATGAGCTTCCTGGCACTTAAAGGCATTTGAGCTTGTGACTCCTGAAGGAAGCACTGTTATGTCCCCATTTTCGTGGCCAGAGGCTAAGTAACTGTTTCAAGGCCACAGTCATGCAATTTTTAGTACTGGAACCAGACACTGCCTCTGCTTCATAGGTTCCAGGATGGCAAGAGTCTTTACACTTACATTTTAAAAGGAATCAATGAATAAATGTACATTTCAAACATCTCTCGGTTATATAATTTAATTTGAGCTTTAGGATGATCAGCAATTGCTGAATATGTATACTATAAAAGTATTTAATTTACTGTATTAAGTATTTATCTACATTTGTGTATTCAGTACATAAGGACATGTATAAGAACCAGGGCTAATGGTGAACATCTGTACTCTCCAAATTATTGAGGCTGAAGTAGGTAATGGAAGTTGAAGGCCAGCCTAAGGTCTGTAAGAGAATATTCCTCCAAACAGGCAAAATTTATAAATGTCACATAATGTATATTCATATGATACAACATAGGAGTCATATAATATGAATATATAATATGTTTACATATATGCCATATATTTACAAAGAGTTAAATGTATGTAGATCACATTTAATTCTCCTTTTTGGTAAAAACCATTATCATCCCCAAGTCCAGGAAAAGGAAAAATGTTTGGAAGATGCCCTCTACTAGCTAGTAACGTCCAATCCAATGTGGTACTTTCCAAGGTGAGGGGAAAAATAAGACAACTTCATGTTTAAGAGTGAAGAATTTTGTTCTTGGACACACAGCAAAAAAAATGGAAATGTAAAGTTAGCATATTTTCTTTAAAACATAGAAGTTTCCTAATATTATTTTTATTTTATAGTCACTTACTACCTTAATTTTTTTCTTAATACCTTGGAAAATATTTTGCTGTCCTCTCACTTTGTAAGCACAGATTGGATTTTGATGACACTGTGTAGTGTGGCTTCTCCTGTTGTCCCATACACTATTGTATCTATTATAATTTTTAAGGACATAAATATTTCCACTACAGCAATACAAGTTAATGTTTTTGTTATAATCTTCATTCAAGGCATATATCACAAGCTATATTATACTATTTCTTTGTTTCCCTCTTTTTGTAGATACCCCTAACTTTCCAGGACTTATACTGGACAAAGATGAGTGTTTCTTCCAGCATACTGTAACTAGAGTGACCACGTTAGTGCAGACTTTACCATGGGAGCCAACACATCAAGCAAAGCACCAGTGTTTGATGAAAATGAGGACGGTAAGAAATGGGCCGCATTGGCATGTAAAAATGGAATTTTGTGAAATTCAAATACAAGTGTATGGCTTCACAAGTAAGTACAAGCCAGGTATCTAAGGATAGAGGGAGAATGAATTGAAGGATGAATCCCCAGAACCTTGTTAATATCTAGAATGTGTTGTTTACTTTTTATGATACATTTGACAACTTTCTTAATCACTACTATGTAGTGTCTTCCCTTCTCCAAAGAGAGATGCAGCCCATGGTAGATATTTAGGTGATTTATGTGTTTCTTTTACTGTCCCTTTGACAGTTGAAGTTATTCCCTTTGCAAGTTTGTTGGGGAATATTAGTTGAAGATGTGTTATATTCGTTTATACTGTGGGATATTTGTTTAATGATGCAAAGATGTGTTGCATTCTTTTATGTTGTATTTGTTTAACTCTGTGAAGCTGTGTTACTTTGCCTGCATAATCACCTGATTGGTCTAATAAAGAGCTGAATGGCCAATAGCTGGGCAGGAGAAAGGATAGGTGGGGCTGGCAGGCATAGAGAATAAATAGAAGGAGAAAGAAAAAAGAGGAGTGAAAAAGGAGGAGAGGAAGATGCCAGGGGCAGCCACCCAGCCAGACATAGACTAAGAAGGAAAGAAAAGACATATACAAATAGAAAAAGGTAAAAGCCCAGAAGGAAAAGGTTGATGGGATAATTTAAGTTAAGAAAAGCTGGCTAGAAATAAACCAAGCTAAGGCCAGGAATTCATAAGAAAGAATAATCTCTGTGTATTTATTTGGGAGCTGGGTGGTGGGCACCCAAAGAGTAAAAAGTAAGATTTAAAAAAAACAAAACAAAACAAAACAAAACAAAACAAAACAACAACAAAAAAACTACACAAGTTTTTATAGAAAATTTCATGTAGATGATAATTGTTTCTCACAATATTATAGAATCAGGTTCTAAAAAGTAGGTGCCTTCTGAATTTGTAACTGACATACTTCTGTATCCCAAACATTTCATTGTGGGATGTCACAGTGAGAATAACCAGTTTCATTGAGGAACAGGGAAACATTCAAGGCTAGGGTTAATTAGGAAAGAGGTACAAGCTGGAGTCCTCCTTCTTCATCAGTTCCCAGCAGTGGCACATTGGGATGGGGGCCTGGGCCTTGCTGCGTCTTCTGTTCTACCTATGGTAGAAGGTTGGGCAGCCTTATTGGAATGTGTTGGGCGGTAGCTGTTTGTTGCAGTCTTAGACAAAGGAAACATTTGGTCCCAAGTAATAAGTTGTTCAGCCTTCCAAGAGGGAAAGTCCAGAATAACTTCTATGGAGTTTTGCTAGTTGCACCAGAAAGGGGAAAGATGAACTGGAATTCAGGATGCCTGCAACCTATTCTACCACCAGCTAGCTATGAAGCTCAAGAGATGTGTCTACTCTTCTAGTGGTACCCATCCCCTCATGCCTCTTGATGGCCCATCTATATCCAATGTCCAGCTGTTGAGAAAGAGGACAGTCAGGAAGATGTACTCATTCCTCTAAGGATTTGATATGGTCTAGCACTTTGGTTCACATGCACATTTTTACTTCTAAGATAGCCAGCAAAATGCAGTTTATTGTTTGGGTAGCCACGAACCATGTAAACGTAAGTTCTTGTTACAAAATGGGGCGTAATTTGAAGTTTGTCATGGATGGGAAGACACTATTTTTGCTATGGCTAATGGCCACATTCTGGTATTGAATGTTTGGATGCAAACACTTAAATATAGACCATTTGACTGGTCTACATGCCTTGTTGCAAATATCAAGCTCTTCACTATCAACATAGGAATAGCCTCACTACTGTCTCTAAAAATATTCCACAGAGACAAAAAGAATTACATAATTGGAAAGATCTTCAACTTTTCATTGCTATTTTTGGTGTTTCCCTTTGTTTTTATCATGAAGTTTAAGGAAGGCTCTAGAGACTAGCAATGTTATGTGACTTTCCCATCTCTGAGGTGGAAAGACGGGTAGACTTTTTTTGATGTGGTTCACTATGCTCTCTGTGGACAAAGAACCAGTGTTTGCATGAGAAAGGTCTTCATAGTAAACAGAGTGAGTAAATGGACAACAACTTCACACTTAAGTTGCTAGGGCTAGTGCATCATCTGAAGGCTGAGTATTGTGATACTGCAAAGGCACAGCCATTCCTTCTTATGGAGTAGCAGAGACAGTTGTATATCCAATGGTTTGCTACACTTTATAACTCTTTAAACTATTCTTAAACCAAAACAATAAACTTAGATTAGAGAAGAGTCAGGCTTAATACCTAGATAGGCCTTGACATCCCCTAGATTGCTCCTTTTTTTTGCTTTCTTGTCCAGAACCCAATGGGAAAACCTACAACAGTCCCCATAAGGGGAAAATCTGAAATAAACAGAGCATTAGTCTATGCTTCCCAGAGGGATTAGGCTCCCAGTTCGTTTACATAAGCTGCTACCAGTGAAAGGCAAAGGCATCTACTTCAATGGTTCTCAACATGTGGGTTGCGACCCCTTTGGGGGTGGAATGAATGACCCTTTCACAGGCGACCCTTTTACCTAAGATCATCCTGCATATCAGACATTTACATTGCGATTCACAACAGTAGCAAAATCACAGTTATGAAGTAGCAATGAAAGTAATTTTATGGTTAGGGGGGTCAGCACAACATGAGGAACAACTGTATTAAAGGGTTGCAATGTTAAGAAGGTTGAGAATCACTGCTCTACCTGTCACTTTGCTAGATGCAGAGAACTGAGGGAGGAAGAAAGGAGCCATGCCTTTGTTCTTTGTCTTGAAACCTATAACCTAAAGACAGGAGGCAAACATTTATCAAGGACACAAACCTGAAAAGTTCAGAGAAAAAAAAAAAAAGAAAGAAAGAAAAAAAAAAAGACTCTGAGTGCTCTTGGGAATAGTATGACAGTGATAGCTGGAGCTAGCTATATAAAGACCTCAGAAGAATAGTTCAAGCACAAGAAAAAGCAACTCCAAAGTTTAGATAATGACAATATTGGGAGTGTACACTCACCTACATCATAATAATCTTTGGTGCGTATGGGTTTGTCCAAAAGATTGCACTTAATTTCCTTATCAATTTATCTCTTTATGTGGTAGTTTGAATGTAATGGCCCTCATAAACTCATAGGGAGTGGCACTATTAGGAGATGTGGTCTTGTTGGAGTAGGTGTGGCCTTGTTGGAGGAAGTGTATCACTGTGGAGGCAGGCTTTGATGACTCATATATGCTCAAGCCATGCCCAGTGAGACAAACAATTTCCTGTTGCCAGTGTAAGATGTAGAACTCTCAGGTACCTATCCAGTACCATGTCTGTCTGCACATTGCCATGTCCCACCACCATGATAATGGACTGAACCTCTGAACTATAAGCCACCCCTAATTAAATGTTTTCCTTTATAAGAGTTACCACAGTCAGGCCGGACAGTAGTGGCATACACCTTTAATCCCAGCACTTGGGAGGCAGAGGCAGGTGAGTTCAAGGCCACCCTGGTCTACAGAGCAATTTCCAGGACAGGCCCCAAAGCTACACAGAGAAACCCAGTCTTGAAAAAAACATAAACAAACAAACAAATAAATAAATAAATAAATAAAAGAGTTACTGTGGTCATGGTGTCTCTTTACATCAATAGAAAACCTAACTAAGACACTTTCTAAGATCATTAAATTTTGAGGAGGAAAGGTATGTCATTGTGATGAAATTACTTTGTATGTGTGTGATATTCATGTGTGTACAAGTATTCATGTATGGAGGGCAAAGGTTGGCATTGGGTGCATGTCTTAATCTCATCTCTACTTTATATATTTGAGATAGGATCTCTCACTGAACTTGAAGTTTCTGCTAGACTGACTGGCCAGCCAACCCCTAGAATCTGCCTGTATCTTCCCATCTCCCAACCCCAGTTCTAGGATTACAGCCTTGTTCGGCTTTTATTGGTTCTGGGGATCTGAACTTTAGTGTTCATGCTTGTGTGGCAAATGCCTTACCCCACCGAACCACCTTTCTGGCCTCTGTTTTTCAACTCAATAAATCCAATGAGGTTCATCTGGGCTTTGTGTGGTTGTGGACTGAGCACAAATCAAGGCTGCATTTGATTGCGCTCTAGCTTCTGTCCAATGGGCCAATCAAAGAACATTAATATCTATGTCATTTTTATACCTATAATTTTGTATAAATAATCAAACTGGGCCAGAATCTAGAGCAGTAAAATGAGCCAATTTAATTACTTAAAAAATATTGCAGAGAAGAATTCTTTAATGTGATGAAAAAAGTATTTAACATTTCCTTTAAGTGGTTTCATATCCCCAGTACATAGAGTTGAGAAGAATATATAATAGTTTCCTCAGACAATGTTTTAAGGGTTATTTCTCATAGAAAATGATTTTGTTCACTTTGAAGATAATTAAGAAATGAGATGGACTGTTACAAGAAGTCCCTTGAGGTGAGCTATCCTTGTTAGGATTCATCCTGACACTAGCATTTTGTGGTGGCTCATCTGATGTCTAAGCTTGAAAGTGTCATTCTGCTCTTTACTTAGGTTGGTCTTTGATGAAGCAAAGTGGGAGATTTGCTAGTGAAGAGAATAACAGCCCGCTTCTCTAGTTTTTTTTTTTTTTTTTTTTTTTTAACAAAGCATGTCTTGAATATGTCCTTGGGTAACTATGCAGATTAAGTAAAATAATGCAAGTAAAACAGTAAGATGTTCTGCATAACGTAACCACCCAATTAATGATAATCAATAGTAGTATTTACTAGTGGCAGAAATTCTTAGCATGAGCTCTTAGAAGTATTTCAGTTTCTTAAAACAAATAGATTGAATGTGACTCAATAGATGCCACAGTCACTATGGCCTACTGGTGACAATATTAGTTGAACTGGTTGACAGAACACAGGATTTTATAGGTTCTGAGGAGATCTATATAAGCCAAGTTACTGGATGCACAAAATTATGGTCTCTTGTTTGGCTTGTCTTTATCTCCCTGAGAT